CCAGCTGGTCTTTGTGGGTGTTGGAATACCAGAAAACAGCCTGAAGATGGTCTGAAAAACAGCCAAAATATAGGTCATTTTTGGGCCGTTTTCAGGCTATTTTCAGGCCAGATTTTTGGCCATTTTGGGCTGTTTTCAGGCTGTTTTTGGTCCAAAGCGGCCTGCAAACAGCCCAGAAAATGGCTCCCCAAAAAGGCATGTGCACGACAGCCAGCTGGTCTTTGCGGGTGTCAGAATACCAGAAAACGGCCTGAAGACGGCCTAAAAAATAGCCAAAAGCCAGGCCATTTGGGGGCCATTTTCAGGCCATTTTTCAGGCTGTTTTCAGGCCTGAAGATGGCCCATAAAACAGCCAAAAACAGGTTGTTTTGTGGCCATTTTGAAGTTGGTTTTGTGGCCATTTTCAGGCCTTTTTTGAGGTTGTTTTCATATCATTTGGGGGCTGTTTTTGGACCAAAAATGGCCTGAAAATGGCCTGGAAAATGGCCCAGACAACGGCCAAAAAACAGGCATGCGCACGCCGGCCAGCTGGTCATTGATTATCTGGCACTCTGGAACACGCAAATCCATGTTGCATGCACACATGTTCCAGTTTGGGCACTCAGTGCTGAAAAGGTTTGCCATCACTGGGCTAGAAACTTTATATACAGGATTAAGACTAAGCCGCCAATCCTTTTTTTCTTATTGTCGAATTCTTATTCTATACAATAGAGTGGGAAGGGGCCTCGGAGGTATTCTAGTCCAACCCGCTGCTCGAGCAGTCCTTATCCCATTTCGGACAAACGGCTGCCCAGTCTCCTTTTGAAAGCCACCCACAACTTCTAAAGCTAAGCCTGATTAATAGTTTTCACTGTCAGGAAATTTATCCACAATTCCAGGTTGCTCCTCTAGTTCGTTAGTTTCCAACCATTGTTTCTTGCCTGGCCTTTTGATGTTTTGGAAAATAGGTTGACCGGACTCCCCTCTTCTTTGTGGCAGCCTCTCAAATATTGGAACACTGCTATAATACCTCCCTTTCTGACCCTCTCTCCGCTGTACGCCAAGGCACTCCAAGACAAGATTACTGCTAGACA